GCTTCTAAGACATGTGGAAAGAGTCCCCTGGGAGCGGGGCAGCTAGCTGGGGCTGGCTGTTAGTGTTTGCCTTGCACCACGGGACCTGCTTGGTGCATGTAGCTTGCTGAGCTGTGTGGTGTGATGCATGGACCCCCTTTGCCATTCGGACCTGTAGGTGGAAGGGGCAATGCCAGTATGGCTGCTCATGCAGCGGAGCGACAGGATCGAGTGTCTTCAGAGCCCAGGAAAGAGACTTTTTCTTCCCCAGTCTGTTTTTCCTTGATACGGCCCTTTCTGTCAAGTAGGTGGTTTGGAGATGGCGGTTACTTTTCATATATAATTAGGACAGCCCTTGGTTTCCTAGCAACCAGTACTAAAGAAGAGCAAAACTGCTTCAAGGGAAGAGATGCTGGAGCGCAGCAGGCGGCTCCCGAGCTGAGCTGCCCCTGCTGCAGAGCTCGGCCATCTCCTGTGAGCTCTGGCAGGGAGAGGACATCAACTCAGCGCTTCGGGCAGCGAGGTGCCGAATACTGCTGCGTGGCGCTGGGTTGGCCGCCCGCCCTAAGGCAGCCGAACGCGTGAGTTCCAGTGTGGGAGTCAGGTCTCTGCCGTCAGTCAGTTCGTTCTTGCTGTTCTCGCAGTCGGTCATCAAGCCCGCAGTTAATTAGCTGGTCTCAGTGCTGCCAGCCCAGCTTCCCCCCTTGTGAAAGTACATGCTCTTGTCCTCTCTGTCTTGGCTTTCATCCATACTTCTATCCACACAAAGAAAATGTGAATTCCAGGATAGAATTGGGGAGTAAAAGTATGCAGTTGGCTTCCTTAGTTAGAAAGATCAATGGTGGATCCCTGAAGCAATCTGCCTGGGAACCTGTGCTTATCTCTGTGGCCATAGCTGGGAGGAAGAGGGGTGTGAAGTTCATGTTGGTAACGAATTAAGCGGTACCGGAGCCAAAGGCTCGCTGTGAAGACACAGAGCCTGACCCTGTGGTGAGGGGCGGGCAGTCAAGCAGCAAGCAATGTCCACTGTGAATGAACTTAAATGAGGAGGGGAAACAGCCCCAAATTCATCTATAAAACAGTGGGCTCTGATCTGACCATCAGCACTTGGGATGATGTGGAAAAGGTAGAAATTTGCAGTCTGGGCGCGGAGCGGCCGGGAGAGGGGTGGTGGGGGTCTGCAGTTCTGTGGCCGGTCCAGTGTGGGAGCTAGGGCATTTCTGAAGGCAGCAGCAGAGGCAGCCTCAGGCAGAAGTGGGGGTTTTCCCCATGGAGTGAAGCTCCTCACCGTGGTATGTGGGGGTGTTGGCAGCTTAACTGAGTTCAAGGGAGAACATGGAGGAGACACGTCGGGTTCAGAGCAGTTCTGAGCCGCAGGTTGTTGGGGTCGGGGGGGCTGCTGGGGGGAGTCGCTGCATGCTGGCTGTAGTCTCGTACCCCTTCATTTGTAGCTGCTTGTGGCACTGTGGGCAGAGGTGCTGAACTGGGACAGACCTTCGGGCTGACTGTGCATGCTTAAGTTCAGAAAGGCTGGTTAGCAAACCCCCTTGCTCATGTACGTATTGTGCGTGCCCGTAGAAACACGTACAGAGGGACACGTGGCATGTTGGAATTCTCCCAACAGAACAAAGCCGCACTGACCAAGCGTGCTGGAGAGGAACTTGCCGAGTGTCCCATGCCCAGAATATCCGCTGAGTCTGGGCAAGTGCCTCCCTGCTCCCAAGAGCTGGCATACAGCCCTCTGGGGATGCGCTGTGGGTCGGCCTGTGGCTCTCAGGATCTCCATTAGAGAGGAACAGGCGCCCTCTCCTCTCCTACGTAGAATTCACAGCTGGAGAGCTGGGCAGTAACTGGGCAACTTCCGCTAATCAAATTGTGTGTGGTAATGTTCAGAGGTACGCGGGAAGGATTGCTTTGGACTGGAAAGACTTCTGCCCTGGGTCTTCCTTGGCCTCTGTCTTCGCCTGCTGGCTGGCCGCAGTTTGGCTGCTCCCTCTTTGAACGAGCCCACTCTGCTAGTCGAGAGGCTTGCCACGTTTGGGACCCCGGCTCCATCCTGGTACGGCTGAGGAACGTGCCATTTGGGCTACCCAAAGACTGCTCCTTGTCACGCCCGCTAGCCAGGAGGTCTGCTGGCTCCCAGGCGATCTGCTGAGTTACCAGCTCTGCGGAGTAATCACGCTGACACCAATTTCAGCCCGGGGGGGTGCATGTATTCCACGTAAACTCAACTTCTCCAGCTCATATTCCACAGCTGCCTTTCTTCCTGTCTCTCTGGGCACACATAGAACTTAGGAAACTTTGTGCTGCCTTGGTTCAAATTAGATGCTTCCTCTGAGACTGTATTGATTTTTTTCCTGAGGGTTTAGACTGAGCCGTCTCCTGCAGTAATCAAGAAGATGCACATGAAGTCAGGGGCTTGTTTTCTCCCTTGTTCTTCCCTTTTCCCAGTATAAAAATCTGCCTATTTTAGTTCTGCTGCTAACGCCTTTGGGTGAGTTTCCTTTCAGACCTCAGGGTGACTGAGGTTTTCTTTACTCTAACAGATGGCTTATTTCTATTTTACTGAACAAAAATCTTGGCGACATAACCGCGCTGTACTCCTTGCCTGGAGGAGATCACAGTTGCTTTGGGATTCACGTTTAGCTGCTCTGGTCTGCAGAGCAGGTCTCACCGTGAGGGCAGCAGATCGCCCTCCGCACCCCTGGTGCAAGCAGCGTAGTCAAACCTGGGTGCAATGAAAAACGAAGCTTGTTCCTCTGTGGGCTGCTGCTTGACTTTGGTGCAAAATGAATGGAATTCTGTCCCATTTCTTGTGCCATCATCAGCATTGCAGACACCTGCGCTGCTGGCCCCAGGAAAAGAGTTTGGGGAAGCATCAGCAGTAGCTGAGCAGTCAGTGCTGGAGAGGTCCCTGGGGTTTGCACTCGTGCTTTATTTTTGTTCCCCCTGCCTTAAGATGTGGGTTCTCCGCTAGATGCATGTGGCGTGAAGGATTACGGTCTGGTGCAGTAACTTCTGCTTTGGCTCTCCTGCGGAGGCACGAAGCTGCCCCTGCTGGCCTCCCCATGGGCAGGGAGGGGGCTGCCACATACAGGTGAGCGGGATTTTGTGAAAATAGTGCTTCACACTGAGAGGGGAAACTGCCTTCTTCTCCCCTTGCCAGGGACCAGCTAAGCGACGTAGTGCTGCGCAGAGCTGTGCCAGCAGGCGGGTGCCACTTCGGGGTTACAGGTGTGTCGTTTCACATCAGGAGCGTGTCAGCGTTCCAGGTGTCCTTTAATGCTGGACCTTTCACTTCCCCTTTATACTAGAGGAGCATCCAAGCACTAGGTGCCTCCAGCGTATCTTGTAACTACATGGCCATGCCCTACGTTATCGTCAAGCTGCTCCCCTTTTTCTTTGGAGACCCCCATAGCTGAGCCAACTTTGGCCCCTATGAGGGGCCAGATTCTGTTGTGAAATGACGGTAGCCTCGTACCATGCTGCTCCACAACTCTCTCCACGTAGCTGCTCGCTACATCTTGCCCGTATCCTTTTCCTTTAGCCCTGTCTCCCAGAATGCCTGTGGGAAAACAATGAACAGGAACTCTTCCTTATTCGGCACTTCCACTCTAAGGCCTTCTCAGGAAGGGATGGAAGGGTACGGTATCCTGCCAGTGTCTTGCATTCCTTCGTCCTAGCCACGGATTTGTTATCCTTCGTGTCTTGAATTGATGTCTGTAGGCCCCTTGTGGCATAGGTGACCCCTCTGGACTGCCTGGAGGGTTTTCTCTCCCGTAGCTGTTATGGCAGAGAATGTTCCTGCGCACTGGAACCTGGTGATGATCTGGTCTGCAGCCGCCTCCCATTGCATGGATTCACTCTAAATACCGTCTGCTGGCTCGCGCTCCCTGCCTCCTGCCAAACTGGGTTGGGAGAGCAGATAGGAGCAGAGAATGTCCCGGAGGTGATTGGGACAGCGACTGCAGTTAGCGGATAACCCCAGGGGCTCCAGGAGTTTTCTTTAGGTGCTGTCGAGCTGCGGGGATGGGTCTCAGCCCCCAGTGTGCTGGGCAGCAATCCCGATGCAGTAGTGCATCGAGAGTGGTCATACCTTTTCCATTTCAACGTAATTTTCCTTCTCTGTGGGAACGAACCTAACTCTTTTCCAGGGTCTTTTTGAGCTCTTCAGAGGGAGCTAGGGAGTCACAGAATGGGAACCCTAAGCTTAAGAGGTTGAGAGGCCTTTAAACTCAAGAGGTGCAGAGCAGGAGGCCTCGTTCCCATATGCCTGGAGACTCATTGGCTTCTTCCTTGCTCCTTGGACAGTTTCGGGTTGGCTTGGTGCCACCAAGCATTGCCAAGGAGCTTGGGTGAAGAGGAAGATGCTTTGCCATAATACTCTGCTGGCTTGAGTCGCAGAGAATGTGTTGTGAAGGACCGTGATGCAGCTGGGCGCTGAGCCATTCCTACTAGTGCCGGGTTTGCTGGCAGTGAAGTCTTGTGGAGAGGACAAATAATTGAAGCAATTGCCCAGCCCTTCCTTGGGAGATGGCCTGTGCGGCGTATGCCGGAGCGTCTGCCGTGAGGGAGGGAGGCTCTGCAGCAGCGTGCTGATGGGGAGAGGGCGGCCGCGTCCCGGGCTGGCCTGCCGCTAGGGGTGGGAGTCCTTTCATGGAAATTCTGTTGGCTTCGCTCAAATTCTGCTCAGCATCTGTAACATGGGGGGCACTACGCCAAGTTCTCCATCACAACCCTGTATTTTAGCGAAAGGGTCACAGGCTTTGCAGCAAACACAGCCGCTGCTCGACACGTTTCCTCCTCTTCCCCATCCTGCGTGTGCCTGAACGCCTGCTTTCAGGTCTGTTACTGCATGTGACTGCCTGGGGCGATTTCCTTGGCCCAGAGGAGGTGACCTTAGGCCTGAGTGTGCCTGTTGTTTGATTCCCAGACTGCCCAGCTCCTTCAGCCATGAGTGGCCCTGCATGGATTTTGGTTGCTGTTTGCTCTATTCATTTTCTGATTGGGTTTCTTTCCAGGTTTTGAAGGCTGCTCCATGGTTCCCACCATTTATCCCCTGGAGACCCTGCACAACTCCCTCTCTTTGCGGCAGGTCAACGAGTTCCTGACGGCTGTGTGCAGGAGTTGCAGTGAATCGCATGTCCAGTCTACCGCAGGTACTGCTGAGGTGGGCTTGTCTCTGGGTAAGCCAGAACAGAACCGAGGCAAGGAGACCTTTTGGTCTTTTACCTTCATAGAATCATAGAATGTTTTGGGTTGGAAGGGACTCCTAGAGGTCATCTAGTCCCCAACCCCCTTACTACCTTATCGGGACAGATCAGCCTGACCAGACTGGCAGTAAGTGCAGTCCCTGAAACCTGTTCCAGGGTGTTCTAGCCCAGGACTGAGCTATGGGATCCAGCTCAGAGCCATCCTAGGCCACTCACTTGAGAGACAAGTAATCAGCCGGGTCTGTCTGTGGCTGATAGTATGGTGACTCCAGCTTGGGAAGTCTTAGCCTCAGATTCCCTGGAGCTGAGGGACAGGCACGGCTGTGAATTTGCGCTGTTCTTGAGCTCTTACTGGAGCGCCTGCTCGTGGCTGCTGGGCTACGAGCCCTTCCTTTATGTCTGTCTGAAAATTACTCATCTGTGTATTTATTTTTTTTCTCTTAAAGCTTTGTTTGATTCAATGATTGGCAGCCAGATACCAGGAGACCCCTTTATGTCCCAGCAAATCCTGTCGTCATCCTCTTTGCCATTGCGCCAGCGTTCGGATAAGCCCCCTTGGTGTGAGTGTGCTCCCTTCTTGATCAGGGGTGAATGTGATGGTGAGGGAGGGAAGCAAAGGGTGCCAAAAGGTGGAAGCCAAGTGCTTAGGATCTCTTTACTCTGCCGTTGAAGGATCAGAAACAGAAAGGGGAAACAGGTAAAAGGGAAAGCAGTCGTATGCCCTGTGAAAAAGCTTCCAGAGAAGGATGCAAAGGACGACTCTGTGGGGTTGTATATCATGGGGCCATCGACTGTTGGATGGATGCTGTCTCTCCAGACATCTTCTGCTTAGTGCACTAGGACATGGAGGGCCTGAATGCACTTCATTTTCATCTCAAGTTTGTGATTCTCCATGGCACATGGCCAGCTCGGTGTTGGCACGTGGGAATGCCTTCCCTTCCTGACCAGCCACGTGCATGCCTCACCCAGAACTCCATATAGGACAGTGGATTAGTTCTCACTTAAGGCCTTTGTGCAGCTCCCGGGCCTCACTCGTCACAGTCTCAGCAAGAGCTGGTGACTGTTCGTTAGCCCCTTTGCAGAGCTGACTGGCACCTGAAGGGGAAAGGGCTAGCCAGGAGTTGCACAGCAAGTGCAAGTTCAAGGCTGCCACCGAAGGAGCAGTCCTACTCTTCCCCATCCTACTCTTCCCCTGGCTGTACGCTCCTTGTGCCAGGAGCAGTGTGTGCTTGTGTAGGCAGCAAGGTCAGGGAACTGATCTGATGGAAAACACTTGTTTGCTCTTCCCCCCTTTATTGCATTAGATAGAGTCTAGACCTTCAGTTTGACTCGTTGCACACTATAAGGCAAGAATAAGCATTAGTGCAGAAGCAATATTCCTTCCTCCAGTGGTGACTGTAGCTCAGCACTTGGGGATTGTGTGTGTCAGGAACCAAGAGGAGCAAAGTTGAAGCTGAGAGTGTTCCATAATAACAAGGGAATGAAAGAAACTTCTCAGCTCAAAGCCCAACATCACATTTCACATTGTGCTCTACAAGGATGACAGAAGCCACTCTTGGCTATGTGCCAAGGTAGCACCGTATGACGAGGTGTAAGTGTGGTGTTTGTGCTTGGGTTTTCCTCAGCTGGGCTGCTGGAAACACCTAATAGCAGCTGCATGCCCTGCCAGGCTCCGTGGCATGTGGACCACCCTCACCCATTGGTTGTGGAACCGTGGGACGGTGGCAGCGTGGGTCTGACGAGGCTTTGGGCTGGGGGCGTGTCAGCGAAATGTTTAACACTTTTCTTCCTCTTTGCAGACAGCAGTGGCCCCTCCAGCACTGTCTCCAGTGCAGGCCCGTCCTCCCCAACCTCTGTGGACAACTGCGCTCGTTTCAGCTTCACTGAGAAACTTTCCATCAGTCCCCCAAAAAGCGAGGAGCAGCTGACTCGCCAGCCCCCTGAGCAAGGCGAGGGACAGCCGCCAGGCAGAGGACTTGATGTGGAGCTGGGGACGTCTGGGTTGTCAGGGGCAGAGCCGAGCGCCCCGGACACCCTGCCCTGGAACAAGGGCCCAGAGCCAGCCCGCGTCCTGGAGCTGTGCGAGAAGGAGCTGGCGGAGGAGGACTCCAGCCCAGAGGAGAAGAGCGTGGTGGAGCCGGATGAAGAAGAATCAGCTGGGGAAATGTTAGAGCCAAGTAACACAGAGAACCCAAAGTGTGGTGCGGGGTCTGATACAAGGCTGGCTGGGAAGAGGGTGAAGCCAGGGGAGGGAAATACGGGGGGAGGGGTGGGCCTGGATCAGTCAGGGCTGTCCAAGGAGATCTTGGTGCCCTGTGAAGAGGAGCTGCTGGGAGAGGGGTTGGACCCAGAGCATACGGGCGGGGAGCTGCTGGGGGACAGTGCTCTGCCAGGCCAGCTTCTGTCTGGTCACCCGTGCCAGGCGCAGCCACTGCCCCCTGAGACGAGCATGGAGGAGCCGCAGCCACCGCCTTGGGAGGATCAGCAGGATTAGGGGCTCACTGGACAGCACACTGCAAGCGCTTCTAGCCTGGAGGCAGCCCAGCTTCCAGCACGGCACCCCATGGAGCTGGCTGTCCACAGCACAAGCCATGTCCCAAGGCCACAGGACTCTGGGGTGTGGAAGAGTCTGCTCTGCTCCTCCACAAGCCAGCTCTTTGCCGTTCAGCAAGACAGAATGCCCCGTCTGCCTCGAACAGCAAATGCAGTCTTAGCACTGGCATGGTGCCTCCGTGGGGCAGGGACCGGGGCTGCATGGGTGTCCCAGGGGCTGTGTGCTTGCTGGGACGGCAGAGTTAGAGGATTGGTACAGCCAAGACTTTTGGGGTGGGAAGTCCAAAGGGGGCAGATGGTCCCTTGAGATTTTTTTGGCCCGTAGCCTTCAGAGAAAGGCATTCTTGGCCCAAAGTAATTGGATCCATCACAACCACCGACCTCCTCTCTGTTCCTTCCTTCTTCCTCTCTCGATTCCCACCACTGGCCACCAAAAGCAGGTCCAGATAGCCCATGGCAGGAAGGCTAGGAGAAGCAGAAAGCATTCTCAATGAGTGTGGGAAGGAGAATAACGAGGGGAGCAGGTTCAAGACTTCCACGGGCAAGGAAATGCCTCTGGTGTGGATGTGAATGTTTTCTTCCTGGGCTGGGGCAGGCAGGAGCCTGGGATCCAGCCTGAGAGAGGTGGGCAGGGAGGATGCACACGGGTTTTTTTCTGGTCCCCAAGGGTCAGGCAGGGTACAGCTCTGAAGTCTTGGCGACAGAAATTAAAAGAAACTGCTATTTGAACAAATCAGGATTATTAGAAACCAATAAGGAGAGATCTTTATTATATATAAAATGAAAAGTATTTAATGCCTATTTATGTAACCGAGTTGTGAGCACAAGCCTGAGGGCAAGGCTGACACGGGTGTCCCTGCCGCACCCCGGGTGCAGGCTAGGGCTGTGCCGCCTCTATTTATGAACAAGTCTGTGTGTGTCTGTAGCTAGGACCTGTGTTCTTGTGAAGCTGTGCCCAAAGATCTCCGCGCTGTGTTGTGATGATGTGTGTTCACAGTAAATCTATGCTGTGGGTCTGGCGTCCCTCTGTCTCGCGCCGCAGCGGGTGCGTGCCAGCGCTTGCAGGTCCCGCTCGTTCCGCGCCCTGCTGGGAGAGGAGCTGTGCTGGAAGTGACGAGCGCAGTGAGCGCGTGGGCACGGGGCTTTGCTCGACAAGGCCAGACGCCGCTTATTTCCTTCTGCAGAACTGGTCGTATGAGGAAGAGGTCCTGGCTTCCCGGGTCCCAGGGCGGTTTGTGGTAAAATGACGACTCTGGGGCATTGTGTGCGGCTCCCTTCACTTGGCCCACACCTTCTCATCAGTGCAAGCGTGTCCTGGGTTCCGTGTCTTCTTCGTCACGCCTGACAATCCCTAGCTGCCAGTTTGGGCGTTGAGGAAAGGTCACGTTTACTTGCACTTGGGATGCAGCAGTTGTGCAGCCGCCTGGAGGGCAGCGCCGTGGCGGGGAGAGGAGGAAGCCTGGGCCCCCCTCCCCGGGCTGTGCCCGCCTGCTCTCTAGGGACAGCTGCGGGGGTCTGGCTTCCGTAGGGAAGCCCTGTGGCTTTCGTTGGCAACCCTGCCTTAAAGGGCTGGAGAACAGACACCCCGGACGGTGCCTGTTGGGCTGTGGGCCTGCAGCCTGCCCCTGCCCCAGAGCTGGCCAGGGGAATGCGGGAGGCAGAGCCGCACTCGATCCCGCTTGTGCCTCTGGTCCTGCCATCCTGCCTGTGCTCCTCATCCCCCCATCCTGCCCCCACCCCCCATCCCCTCATGCTGCCTGCACCCTCCCAGGGTCAGCAGCGCGTGGCGCCTGCCTCCACCAGCACGGCTGTGCCCGCAGTGGGATTTCCTGCCAGGATTTGCCCGTTTCTGTCGGGGAGGCAGCGCCCACACTGCCATGGCCGAGTGGGGCATGGCTCCTTCGGCGGCGCCAGCAGGGCATGGAGCAGGCTCCGGGGGGGTGAGGGCTGGCTCTCAGGTGCTCACCCCCATGCAGCTGGGGGCTCGTTGCAGCTACGGCCCCTGAGCCCGCTAGTGGGATGGCTTTGCTGCGTACCAATGCCCGGCGGATCCCCCACCCGTCTGCTCCCCCTGCATTGCAGGAAAACAGCCAGGGGGTGCTCTGGGTGCTGCTGCCCTCCTGCCAAGCAGCGCAGGAGATGGACTGGGTGCCGGGCACCGGGGGAGCCCCGAGGGCGCTTTGTGGTCGGAACCCTTTCCCTCCCCTGAGGAAGCGGCTGCTGGCTGCAGCGTCCTTGTGCCCCCAGGGCTTGGCAGGGACAGCACAGCGCTGGGGTAGCGCTGCCCCGAGCTGCTGCTGCGGATGTGCCACGGCCACTGGGAATGAAAGCGGCCGGTTCTTGTGAGGCTCTGGCGGCCGCGTTCTGCAAGCAGGGACAGCCGAGTGCTGCAGTCGTTGAATTTATGGGCAGGTTGCTACCTCTCACAATCAGCATCTCATTTTGGCTTCTGAATGTGTTGAATTGGTTGCTGGAGGCCTCTACCCAGAAGTTATCTGGCTGCATTGGTGCTTTGCATATGGGTAATGCTGTGAAGTTTTGTTTGTAGGATCAGAGGGCTTCCTGGTGCAGGGCAGAGTAATGGAGACAGCCCAGTTACCTGTGGCCAGTAGTGCTGGTGCTGTGGAAGCACATGTCCTGAACCCAACGGCAGGTACCGTCCCGCCAGCAGCCAAGGAAGCCAGGCTGCCGGCCGTGGTGCAAGAGCTGGGTTCTGGTCTATGCCGGCTCTCTCCATAAGGCAGCCAAGAAGGGATGGGTGGTGCCCTTCACTGTGAAAGAGCTGCTTAGCAGCTACCTCTGTTGAGAGGTTTGTGATCTGTCGTGATGCTCTAACGCTTCCAAATGAGCACCTGTAGAGCTTGCTGCAAAACCTGAGCACCGGCTGCCTGCTCTCACATGGTGGCTTTATGGCGTTGTTCTTGGCTCGGTAGCCGCAGTGATTACTGGCAAAGCCCCTTCCCAACGAAGGGTGGTGCAAGCAAGTGCTGTCAGTCAGAGAGGGGAGGAAGGCAGTGCTGGTCCGAGCTGCCCTTCCTGGGCAGTGCGGGGCCAGGCGGAGGACACAAAGGAGAGCACAATCCAGGAGCTGCCGCACCGGCCAGGCTGGGCTCCCCATGGGGATGCTGAGGGCTCTGTCCTTGCCGCGTCCCAGCTGCGCAAGGGCCCGAAGCGTCCTCTGGACGGGAGGGGGCTGGAACTGTAAATCACCCCGCCAGGGTCGGGGAGGGAGGGCTGGGTGTCCCCAGCCACTCCATGCCCCTGATGTGCGGGTCCCGTCCCAGGAGCACAGGGAGCTTCAGCAGCCGCACGTGGAGGTGCAGCGTTAGGGGAGCGGCCGGGCTCACCCCAGCTCATCGGCTGGAGGCATCTGGCTGGCACCGGAGGGGCATCTGGCAGTAGCACCCGCATGCCCCTGCCTGCGCCACGGAGTCGCTCAAAGAACGGCTTGAAACAGTTGGAAGTGTTCTTGTTCGCAATTAATGTGGCTTTATTATTAATGTGTCGGGCTCCTCGCTTGACAGCAGTTGGTTACAGAGCGTTTCACATGGAAATGGGCGGAGGGACAGAACTTAGGGAACTGAATTCAAATAGAAACGTGATGCTGAAGAAAAGAATCAGGGCTCTGTTCTTAAAACATTTAGCATAGAAGAAGCTAGGAGCACAAGTTGCCATTTCAATACAGTTAAGACGTTCACTTTTTCAGTTATAGGTTTAAAATAGTATTTTTGTACCTATTACATACAGGAAGATTACGCGTTGTTGCCCACATGCAGAAACAAGCAAAAGCAGAGTTTAACTGTTTCTCTCTATAGCGCTGTGTTACCGCTGGCTCTGGATGGGTTCTGCTGGCTCCTGCAGGGCGCAGCAGGGTCAGACTCCTTACAAACGGGCATTTTACAAGTCTTTTTCCCGTAGTTTTTTTTAAGCGGGGGGAGGGGGGAGGAGGGGAGGGGAGAGAGGAAGACAGAGAGGAAGGGAGAGAAGCTGAAGGCAGAACAGACTGCCACAAAAGACTAAAAAAAAGTGAGAAGCCTCGAGCGAGGGAAGCGAACTGGTGTGGGGTAAAGCTGTCCTAGCAGCAGGGCTGCGGTGCGCGGAGCCCGGCGTGCGGAGGGCGGGTGTCTTCATGGGAACACGTGCCAGCGGCCGCGCTCCTGCCTGGAGGATTGCAGGCACCTTGCAAAGCCGCCTACTGCTGCGTAGTCAGAATTGCTTCAAGTTTAAAACTGAGAAAACATTCATGTGTGGGTCTATCTAAAGTTAGTGCATTAGCTTTTACACCCCGTCACGCCTGGGGACCTAGGGAGCCCGTCAGCGAGGGCTGTGGCTGTCCTCCAGCGTCTGGCACCCTCTGCCCGCCCC